GATTATTACCGGAGCAATGAGTAAGTTCTATAACAGAATTTTTCACAGTAATTCACGATAGAAATTATAATTTAATGCAGACTAACTCAAGTCTTTACCAATATTATGTGTCAAATAAGTGTGTACCAATTTTTACATGACTCGCGAGAGAAATCATGATAATTTCAGTACTAGCCAACTCAATCTTACCTACATATTATATGTCAAGTTTTGTACTAGAATTTTTATAGCAACTCGTCGATAGAAATTACAATAATCAATAAACTAATTTAACCTTTAACAATATTTTGAGATATAGAATAAAAGGGCGCCAGCTGCGCCCCATTTACACTTGTAACATTATAACGAGTGAACGTAACGTAACCTATTAATTGATAAAAATACTTAAATGAGCATTTATAGAATTTACCATAACCAATAATACGTATTATATTATATATTTATTTTTTCAGCTAATTATCTACGCATCGCAATTGGTTTATTTTGTAAGCGCCAGTACGTAATAACTTAAAATACGGCATTTACTAAAATTAATCTACCCTAATCATGTGAATATGTACTGTCTATAGGCATTATCAATTGACTTATTAAGCATTGAATATATCAGTACGTATATGGTTATCATTTACCGTTTCAAGATAGATAACATCATTTTTTGTTTAAGGCACGCCGTATATATATTCCCACAATATCCTGCAAGGTTACTTTCGCCAAAACTTAATCTCTACTAAGTGCGTTTTTTTTTATCTATCATTTGTGATTTGATATGTTACCAGAAACTAATACAAACGACAGCGCTGAAGATTCGATCTGTAATGATGCTAATGGAAGAATTCATGATGAAGAAAACAATTTCCAAATAAACTCGAAAGATGATTTTGATATTGAGTTGATTTCAGCGGCAAGTTATCAAGCTTTACTTATACTTCAATTCTATTTTCTCTTTCGCATAACCTTTGAAATATGTTTAAAATTTTAGGCAGTTAATACTAATGATGATCCAAGTTTACCATGCTTAACTTTTCGATATTGGGTGCTAAGTACTGTAAGTCCTGCGTATATTTTAGTATATATTTATTGTATGGATATATTACAGTATATAAATAAATAGATTACACCAGTATATGAATTTCAATTTTTATTTTACGTTCTTACAAGACCATTTTTAGGCCCTTAATGTTCAATGTAGAAAAGCCATATATTAAAAAATTATTTAATGGTCTTTAATTAAGGTGATTCAGAATTAACTTATTTCGAAAATAAGTGCCAAAATAAGAAAATGAAATAAGGGCGATTTTCTGATGATATATATTGATCGTCATATAAAAAAAAAAGATTTCAAAGATGACTTATTTCGAAACAAATCGTCACTAATTTTGTTTGAAATAAGACATCCAATCATTAATTCTGAATCTCGGAAAGCATTGAAAACATTGAATTTCGCGCATTGGATTACACATATACACCACGTGGTCTCAACCACATGATTTATATGTAACTAGATATAGTGTTGTACACAGCACAAAATTTTATTAAGATAACCTGCTTTCAGTTTTTAAAAATAAACATGTTTAAAATTTTATATTTATGTATCATAGTTTTTTACGGCATTAGGAGCTGCGGTGTCAGTATGCTACTTTTTTCGTGCAAATAACCTTATTTATTCTATATTCTTTGTGATACTCGCATCTCATTTCGTGGGTAAATGGATGGAAAAAATCTTACCAAATAAGAAATTTCGTATAAAAAATTGGGAATTTAATCTAAATCCAGGTTTATCAAAATTTACAATATTTAAATTTGGATCTTTGCTTTTATAATCAATTATCGTGTGAAGCTAACGCTAACTTTTGTGCAGGTCCTTTTAATTATAAGGAGCACGTATGCGTAGCCGCAGCAGCTAGTGCTGGTGGTGTTAGCGCATATGCTGTGGTATTTTTCAAAATCTTTTAATTTTATTTTTTAATTTTATTTTTTTTTTATTGCTACAACATTTTTTGATATTTATCTTTTCGTGATTTATAGGATGTTATTGCAATCCAAGAATTATTCTATAACACTCGAGTTAGTTTCTTAGTTGGTTTTTTGTTACTGATTAGCACGCAAATGATTGGTTATGGGCTCGCCGGATTTGTTCGAAAATGTATGTATTATCAACAAAGATTAATATCCGGAATAATTGGTTAAATAATTATGTTAAATAATTATTCGGAATTATTCGGGCGGTTAATAATATTTGTTCTTAAACTTTTTAATCAATGCTAACATTAATTAATTACATTAATTTAGATTTAGTTCGTCCAGCTAACATGATATGGCCTAAGTCTCTTGTATACGCTGCTATGTACAATACATTACACGGCAATACCTCCCAAACAAATCATAAATTTAAGTTTTTTGCTATCGCTTTTATTTCAATGTTCGTTTGGCAGTTTGTACCAGAATACATATTTCCATGGCTAGCCAGTGCTGCCATATTATGTCTTATTGCTCCAAACAATACTACGATAAAAACATTAGGAAGTTCTTATAGAGGTGCTGGAATCCTTAATTTTTCCTTAGATTGGAATGCTATTGGTCAAGTCTTTCCCATGTTCACACCATGGTAACTTTCATATATAATTCTCAAAATACCTATCATTTAATTTGATATATTTTAAATTTACTTATTTCCTTAAATGTAGGTGGTCTCAAGTTAATTATTACATTGGTGTCGTTTTAGTGATATGGGTTATTGATCCATTGCTGTACTTTAATAATGTCTTGTGAGTATTTATATAATTTTTATCTTGTAGAATAATTACATATTCTGTAAATTAATTTGTTAATTTTTATTTTAGTGATGCAAAAAAATTTACTTTCGCATCGACTCATTCATTTGATAAATATGGAAACATGTAGGCATCGTTCTTTTAATTGGTCGCATTATTAAAACTATTAATTTATCAACCCTATTACATAATTTATCAAACCTAATAAACACTCTTTTGCAGATATAACCAGACAAAAATCATGGATCCAGTAACTGGCACTCTCAATGTTACTGCATATGAAAATTATAGTCCAGTATATATGTCTATTGTATTTGTTATGAGCTATTTCTTTTTTTTTATGCAAGTTCCCGCAACTATTTGTCATGTGATACTATTTCATGGGAAAGAAATTTGGAGTCGATATAAGAAAACTCGTGAAGAGGAGGAAGAAGCTGACATCCATTGCAAAATGATGAATGTTTATCCAGGTTTCAATAGTATTTTTTTCACTTCTAATAGCTATTTAAAAAACAATTTGTTAAAAGGCATTTTTTACATTTTTTACACTTATTTCTTATTTGACAATAGAAGTACCATATTATTGGTATGGTACTATTTTCTTCGTTATGTTAATAATCGCAATTATCCTTGGTTATACAACTGGTGCGAATTTACCTTGGTGGGGTGTATTATTGGCTGTTGTTCTTGCTGTAGTTATGGTACTTCCGATAGGTATAATATTTATGATCACTTGTTCAGATCTCTTTTTTTAAAATATAATCACAAATATTCTTGACTGTTGATAGGAATTATTCAAGCCATTTCGAATTGGCAACTTGGCTTGAATGTTATGACTGAATTAGTGTGTGGTTTTCTTTTACCTGGTTATCCTATCGCAAACGTATATTTTAAAACTTATGGATATAGGTCCTTGACTCAATGTTTGTTATTTATTCAAGATTTAAAATTGGGTATGTCTTTTCTTTAAAAAAAAAAAAAAATTGTTATTGTTGACATATAATTATCAAATTTTATATTACTATTAAAAGGGCATTATATGAAAATCCCTCCACGAAGCATGTTCATAGCACAAATATGGGGTACAATTATTGGCATAATTGTAAACTATTGGACATTGAATATTATAATAAATACAAAAAGATCTTATATTGATGGTACAGAAGCTGATCCAACTGGCCAAGTAAGTAGGTTATTTTTTTTTTCTTATTTTTTGAACTTTTTTAAGAGAATGTTTTTAATTGTGCATGTAGTGGGCTGGTCTTAAGCCAGAAATATTCAATACTGCATCTATAGTATGGGGATTAATTGGACCGGCAAGAACTTTTGGGGTATGTCAATTCTATATTATGTATCTTAGTGTTTTATTATTGAAATAGTGTTTTATTATTGAAATCATGAATTACGTATAAATCCAATACCTCTGGTTTTCGACAGTCTGGTTCAATTTATAACGTACTTCTCTGGGGTTTCCTCATTGGTGGCTTTTTGCCAATACCATTTTACTTACTTCATCGAAAATTTCCAAAGGCGAAATTCAATCTCGTGAATACTCCCGTGATATTATTTGGTTTAACTGTTTTTCCCGAAACTTATCCAAATTTCATTATCACTGGGCTTATTGCTAGCTTTTTGAGTCAATTTTATGCGTTTCGTTATAAGCATAGGTAAGTTTATTATTATAAATATATATATATAATATGAATTAAAATTAAAGATTTCTCGTTTGATTATTATAGATGGTGGAAAAAGTAGGTTTTTTTTTCTTTTATATCTATAATCGATATTTTTAAATGATACTCATTTATTTATAATGATTATAGATACAATTATGTAATGTCTGCAGCATTTGACAGTGGTGCACAAATCATGACAATGGTAGCTTTCGTTTGTTTTAGTGGTGTTGTGAAGGTAGGCTACTAATTTAATATTACTGCTAAAGCTATGTACCAAGTTCGATTTTTTTTATGCGTATGCCTCAATACATTTATCTTTCAGGTACAATTTCCAACTTGGTGGGGTAATGATCCATCAACTCAAAGTGAACACTGCTTTCCTATAAACAGTTAGGATTAGCAATAGAACAAAGAATATAATTAATCTCCTCTAAAACAAAACTAGATTATAAGATAATCGTTGCCTTATCTGATGCTGAAATTTGGGGACTCTGTTTGAAAACTTGATTCTGATTAAAATCCTTACATATTTTTACTAGAAATTCAACTCTGAATATTAGTCTATTTAGATAGCTGTACGACATATTCATGCAAAGCCAGGATCGGAAATTGTAACAAATATCAGAATTGAAATAGCTTATTTGCTCATGGCTTTGTCATGGGAACTTTTTATATGTGAGTGATGCCAGGAAAAGCCTTTAAGTACTGTCTTTATATATTCGATAAGTTTCATCTAAACTGTAAAGTTAAAATGATTAAATTCAAAAGAACTTTCTTAGATGTTTCATTTGATATCACTTTTATTTTTTGTATTTGTTTTTGTACTGATCTCTTTATTATACATAATGTACTACAGTGTGGACAACCTAGTCCCAACCAATATAATTGATGAAATTCAAATTGCTAATCCTTTTTTAAAAAAAATAGTAAAAAAAAA